TATAAATTAAAGTTGAAAATAAAATAACTGTACAACAAAATACACAATACACAGTATAGAAATATATAAGAATGTATGAGAAATATAAATACATTACACATTATACACCCTGATTAGCTTCCAGATCTTGTTCGATCTTGGAAGCTAATCAGGGTTGGGCCTGGGGACTTGGGTGGGACGCTGCCTCCCCAGTGGTGTGTTAAAGCCAGTGTGTCCACCTCACATTGTCCAGTATTTTCCTGTGGCCTTGTGCTGTATGGCTGTGGCAGTTTCTTTCAACCCTCCATTCTGTAATACATATTTGTGTAGTAAAATATAAACGTGTGATAACTATGAGGTGATTGTGAATATAAATAATGAGTTATACAAGATAAAAAATAGGGATTTGCTAGCTGCAACACTTTAAACATAATAGGCTTGCTGTTCTGTCCTTCTACCCTCGCTCAGATATAACGGGAGACAGTCTCACCTTTGTCAACAGTATAAACCATGTATTTGTTTTTTATATTTGTTTTGTAAACGCAAAGAAAACTTATTAAATGTCAAACATCAAGCAAGAATGATCAATCATGAAGCATGAACTAGGCATAACTCACACCATGGACATTTGTTCTTAAAAACACATCTGTTACATTTTAAACATTGTCAATATTTCTGCTCATTTATTACGATTCTGAAAAGTTGTTATGATTTCAGCAACTTTTCTAATATCAACTTCAGCTTCCTCACCTTCACGAGTTTAGCTCGCTGGGCTCGAGCACCAAACACTGTCTGTGAAACAGTGTTCAATAAATTAGTGCTTTAATATTAACATTTTTATGTTTCTGGTTAAAACAGGAAAGACAGTAAGTGACTCACTTATTGCCAAAGTGAGTCAACATGTCCAGTGCAGAGCTGGATCCTCCTGCACTGGAACAGGAAGTACAGTTAGGGTCTGTGGAGCAGGGTATTTGGCTGAGGCGCTGCCGGGTCTCCAAAGAATTTGCAGCAATTTGCCAGCAATATGTTTACAAAAAACAAGAAACAAAGAAACTTAGTGTTGTCTCCTCGTAGTTAGTAGTTTAGTTAGTTTCCTGTTATTTAAAAAGAGGTCAAGTATTAGTGAGAAAACTCCTACAACAATAAAGCCACAGTGATTTTACACTGAGACACTGTCAGACTCACAGTCCTTCTTCTTCTTTTGCTCCCTTCAGGTGTTGCCTCTCACCTGCCTCACCCGTCTGTAACATCTGTCGCATAAACTCTGTCCTCATCAGCATATATAAATATACAAATATGTTTTCAAAGGTAGTGTTATTTTTTTAATTCCTTTTTTCATATATCGCCACATCACAAGAAAAGTTGCCTCAAAGTGCTTTTTATAGCAGCACAAAGAAACAGACAAACCCCCACAATCATGTGATGCTCTATGAGCAGCAGTGGGAAGCAACTAGGGCTGGGTATCGTCACTGATTTCTAGAATTGATTCGATTCAATTCGATTTAAATCTGGGAAATTTTGACAGTCAGAAATATTATAATTCAGATCAGTACATTTACATATTTTTGTATCTATAAAAAGGAAGCTGACACTCGCAAGACTTTATCAAAGGTGTGAACATCACAGCAGAGGCCTTTGTGTCAAAGTAGCTGAAGATAAAACACAGAAAAACATGAAGGTTTTCCTGGCCTGGATTTTATAAAAATATTCTGCAGTACATCAAAAACTAAAGAAAACCATTAATCAACATATGAAAATTACCTCTGAAGCTACAGCTTAGAGCTTAGCTTACAGACACGGCGTTTTGCATTTTGCATAATTTTAAAAAGTTTAAATTTGTTCAGTATTGAACGGCAGAAATTAGGTTTTTTCAGAAGTATATAAAACAAAACAAAAAAAAACATCGGCCGACAGCCTGTAAACAACGGTAGACTTGTGCGTAACAAGCAAGCGAATAATGCAGGAAACAGTACAGAGAGAGAGAGAGAGAGAGCTGTGCATGAAGTGTGATTTTATCCTGGTGGAAGCAAAACAGGAAAAGTCAGAGTGAGTTCATGACGATGTTTATGTGAAGCTAGTTTGGATCTTCTTTTGCTGCTGGTTCGGTCAATATTGTTTGGAGAGACATCAAACTAACAGCTTTAGAATCAGCGCATAAAGGGCGTGAACACAAAGCTCGACCCGCCGAAACATTGGAATCAGCGAGCTGTCGGCTTTCAGCCCCGACCGTGTCCGAGCCGTCGGTGAGAAAGTCACATCTCACTGATCCTGATGCGTCGGCGGGTCGAGCTTTACATCTTTGTGCAGAATCCGTGTTCCTGCTCTCATTTACTGTTCTAGCTGTTTGGTGCTTTTTGAAAATTTGTGAGGTTTAACCTGATATTCTGGAATTTGGGGCAAAATACATTTATATAAAAAAATCGATTCAGGGTTTTAATGAATCGATATCACGTTATCCAAGCCAGAATCGATGAATCGATTATTAAAACCCACCCCTAGAAAGAACGTCTCCTCTTTTAGACGTAAAAAAGGAAACCAGAGAATTTGTCTCCTATTTCTTTGTATTGTTATATCTCTCATTGTATTATTCAGCAGCTTGTGACACTGTCCTGCTGCTGATGTGCTGAAATGGGATAAATACCTTTGTTTCTATTGTCATAGGTCAGGTATGAATGCTGCTGAACCCACTGCAGAGAGACGGTGTTTCCCTTTCTGTGCACTGCTGACACACAGATTTGAGATGTGACACCAGGGAGAAAGAAACCAAGACAATATAAAAAAGCACAGGTGGAAACTGAGCATGAGACTGAACGTGCAGACAGTTATATACTGTACACTTCTCTGCTTGTTTCTTGGCCCGAAGCTGAACTCCTGAACCTTTATAACTAATAAACACTGATGGCACAACATCAGTGTTTATTAGTTATAAAGTCCTCAGACAAGAGACTGTGTGTTTCTGTGTGTTTTAGATGAAAGCGCTGCATAAAAGTGAGTGCGAGACAAAGCGTCACACTGATAATGCAGAATAATGAGGACAGCTGAAGATATGTACACACGAGGTGATTATAGAGAGGGAACAGCAGGAAACAGCTGAAGGGAACCAAGGGAACTCAAAGGCCTGATAATAAACAGACGGACACAACCTTACAGTGACAGTTAAACCTTAAACTATATCTAAATGCAAATCCCATTAAAGATAATGACTCAACACCTTCATCAGTGATGATCCACGCTAACCTTGTCTTGTAGAGTACGGACGTTTTGAGGCCAAAATCCACGACCTGCGGGAACAGATGATGAACCACAGCATGAGCTCCGGGTCAGGATCCCTGCGAACCAACCAGAAAAGATCCCTCTATGTCAGGTGGGTCTGTTTTGATTTTAGATGGTTGTGGTAAATCAAAGAATGCAGAAAATGAAAAAACATCTGCACAAGTCGGACGTCCCAGGCTGAACAGCAAAGCTGCTTGTGCGTCGTTTACTTCTGTAAGCTTGTATGTTCATGCATAGATGTCTGACTAAGAGGAAGATTTATGCAGATATTCAAATCAGGTTTGAGACGTGTGACTGAAACAGAAACACATTCACTGTTTACTATAGTAACTGCTGAAATCCTGCAGCTAGTTTCTCTAGATTTAGAATAAAAGTCACTGCAAAGAAACAGGATTATTATTGTATTGCTGCTCTTCTCTCGTGCACTAGAGCACTTTTTGACTATGAAAAGTCAAAGGACAGCGGCCTTCCCAGCCAAGGGCTCGGCTTCAGGTTTGGGGACATCCTGCATGTCATCAACGCCTCCGATGACGAGTGGTGGCAGGCTCGCCGTGTGACTCCACATGGTGACAGCGAGGAAATGGGCGTCATCCCAAGCAAGAGACGGTAAGAAGTGAACACACTAATGTGTGAAAATACTAATGACTAGTTTCTTCTAAACTAGTCAAGATCCAAAAACAGGCTGTTTTTGATTCACGTTTATTTATAAATCACCAACAACAACAATAGTCGCCTCAGGGACGTCAAAGAGCTGCAGACCTTCGTAGTAACAATAACGTCTCCCAGTCCTGAAGAACATCGGTGCAGAGTCAAATTCATCTGAAAGTGTGCATCGATACAGCAAACAAAGTTTCAGGATTTAATCACAAAAATGCCAGAAAGATGTTTTCATTATCAAAGAGCAGAAACCGTTTGTCACCAGTGGGATTTTTGTTTCTTCGCTTTAGGTTTGAATTTTGATTCGTGTCACAAATATGTCGTATGTTCCCCAGTTATGTCTGTGTTTGCTCGCTTGTCTCGTCTCCTTTAGTCCAAGTTTCCCTCCTCGTCTTCCTCGTCTCTCTCACATGTGTTCTCCCCTACACGTCTCTCCCTCTCTGTCCTCCCTCTGTGCTCTGGGTTTCGTCAGTCTGCATCTCAGTGCGTGTTTCTCGCACTTCCAGTTTTACTTTGATAGTCTCCCCCAGGTGTTTCCTCTTTGCCCTGATTCCCTCTTCGTTTACTGTGTCTCCCTCCGTCCTGTCGTGATTGACCCT